TTTTTTTTCAAAATAAATATTATTAAGATTTTTTTGTTAGATTTCATAAATAAAAACACGTATTCTTCACCCTTTTTAGTGTATAATCCTCCCTCATCCATTAATTACTTCACAAATGGCCTACAACGGGCTTTGGCCGACAAAATGGCATTTTTAGTCATGCTCGTAGCATTTTTTAGTCTCAAGATTTTAACTTTTTGTCTTTCGATCCTATAATTTAGTATTTTGCTGCAATTTCAATCCCAAAGGACTGAAATTACAACAAATTTTAAAATTATGGGACTAAAATTCCAACAAAAATTCATCCAAAAGTTTTTTTATTAGCAATGTAACTCCTGTAATTTTAAATTTTATTTTATTTCCAATCAAAAATGACTTAAATTGTGCTGAATGTTAGAATCATAGGACCAAAAGCAAAAATATTCAATTCTTAAGACTAAAAACGCCACTGGATCAAACCAACAGGGCTAAAAGTGCAGTTTTGCCGGCTTTGGCCTTACCATAGTTGATTTTTATCGGATTAACCTTCTCTAACCCAACACCAAAACCCATTTTTTGCAGCAAATTCGCCCCAACCGAACTCCATATGCATCTGCAATTTACGTTTTTCCCGTTTCTCTCTTTTCTTTAGACGCATATTTGCGTCTGGACTCTATTTTTGCATCTGAACTTTTTTTTTTTTTTTCATTTCAGTCTCTCCTTTTATTTGTTATATTTTGCCTTTTGTCATTTTAGCCCCATTTTTATTAAAATAATGTTTTGTGTGTAATTATATATATATATATATATATATTAATTTTATTTCTTTTTCATATAATATTTAAAATAATGAATATTAATTTTATATTTTTTTAAAATATGTAAACTACTAAAAAAATCTTAATTTCTTTTAAATTAGATAATATAATATTAAAATAATAAATATTATATTTATCATTTAATTGTATATATTTCACAATAATAATGTAAAATATACATATTATTTATGGTATTTTTGTTTGGCAAGAAAATAAAACACTTCATTAAATAACAACATTAGTAATACAAATTGAAATAAAAATAATAGTGTGGTTTAATTTGTAAAGTTGTAAAATGTGTGGGTAGTATTGAAATTATAAAAGTTGATGTAAAAAAAAATATTTCGAGCATATTCTTTTAAGTTTGAAAATGAGTTTTTCGGGCTGGAGATGAATTACTCCAAAATGAGACAATTAGTGCAAAATGGGTTTGAGTATGGGTTTTTCGGTTGGAGAATATGATTGACTGGCTATTTTGTTACTATTGTTTACAGGCCATTTGCATCAATTTCTAGAAATTTACTGCATAGAAAAAAGTAAAATCATATCCCAATCAATCTTATATAGTTTAAAGCCTTATATATATTTACTAGATTATTTCTGTATTTTGATCAACCCCAATGAAATAGTAGAAAGCCATAGTAGCTTTTAAGGTACTTGCATGTAACAAGAACATAGACTTAGATTTTCATATCACAACCATATAACACTTGAAAAAACTCCACATAAGTTCACACCCAAACAAAAACACATGAAAAAAATGAATAATATCAAGCATTAGGCATTAATCCTTCTGCAGTTCTTCCTGATTTCTCCCCTGTTCCCGGTCAACGGCGAAATATTCCCCATCTTAACCATCGACTTTGCAAACTGCTCGAAAAAAAGCTCGTTATTCTCGGCATATTTCTTCACGAGCTCGAGCGACTGTCGGTTCTTAGTGACCAGAACTTGGTCAGAACTCAAAAGGCCTTTATTGCTCAACAGATTCTTGAAGTAACTGTTGTCGAATTTCGTAGGCGAGACAGGGTCTAAGACGAACAGGTTCTGGTCCCCACCGGATCTCGGGCACCCGGCCCGCAGCTTGGCGGCGTACGATTGGTCGAGGGTGAAATCGGGTCTCGAGTTTCCTGATTGGTTGTAGAGCCTCTGCCTGAAGCTCACACATCTAGCATTTCCTATGGTGTGGCTTCCTGCAAGAAATTAATTAAGGTTATTATCGGTCAAAGATTCAAGTATATATATGATTAATGTATGATGAAACAAGAAAATGTACCAGATAATGCAACAAGATCAACAATGTCCAATCCTTGTAGCTTAAATTTAGTTAAGATGGTCTGAAAAGTGTTGTTGGGAGCAGGAATGTTGTTGTTTGAGCCACTCAAGCTGGCTCCTTTGGAGTCCCTCCTTCCCAGTGGAACCTCCCAACTGGGCCCACCAGCCTAGTACAAATTTAACCAAAAAAATAAAAAATAAAAAAACAAAAAAATGAGCTCCCTTGTAATCATTTTTTTTTTTTTTAAATTTCTTATTGAGTTAGTTAACTTGGAATATAAATTGATTATAACTCACAAGAACTGTAGAGTCCCTTGCAGCAAGAGCCATGATATCGGCACAAGACACGGTGCGAGGGCACTCTTTCTCAATCGCCGATTTGATCTCGTCAATCACTTCAAACCCGCGGACTGAGTTTCGGTTAGGGTTGGATCGCTTTTCGCTGACTAGGCTACCCGTGCTGTCCAATAGTATCGACGCATCACAGCCCTTCGTGTTATGTATCAAGAAAATAAAAAGAACATTAATCAGTCTATAGAAAAGTTTACATTAAAAAGTACTTTTTGCTCCTCACAAGAAGGGAGCTAGTACATTGTTGGGACTTTTAGTACTAATTTCATAATGTGCATGTCATCAGCTCTCTTTACAAGTACATTGCCTAACTAGCATGAGAATGAATTCGAACAAAATGCATGCATTGTCATCGTAACATAACTAGTTTTGCATAAATAGAACATGACGAACGTGCAAAACGATATATTCATTTACGCCGAAAGTAAGTAAATTTTGATTTTGAATGAATTATAAAACCTTAACAAAGCAGTCGTGGAAATGGAGCCTAACAAGTGAAGCCGCCATACGAGCTTCTTTAGCAACCGCCTTTGCAACAACGGTCTGAACAATCTCACGAGCCCTCGGGCACGAACGGTCATAGAATTGTGGGTACAAATTGCCTCCATGTGTGTTGAGACAAAAGCAAAAGGGTGCAAAAGCAAGAAGAGTTAAAGCCAAGAGCAAGACAAATGTGGACTTAGCCATTTGTGTGTGATAGCTGCAAGAATTGCTATATTTGCAAGAAAATGTGTTGTGGAAAAGAAGGTTTAGGGATGATGAAATTTGACATTAGATTACAAGTATTTATAGAGATTTTTTTACTTCAAGCAAATGTACAAAGTTATGAGGTAGTAAGAAGAAGCCACATAGGAGTTGGTGATGGGATTTTTGAGTTGAATAGGTGTACTTTCTTCAACATAATTTGGGAATCTTAAAGCATGTGTTTTTTGTTCTTTTGTGCACAAAGTATTGCCTTAGGTATGCTAACTTTACCTTACAAGTATTATAATCTAGTTGGTCTGTTAGTTTTGTGTAAAATATTTTTTTTTTCTACCTATACTATACATATGTATTTTTTGACTTTGCAAAGTATTTTTCGTGGTAAAATGCGACATCAACTTCATGATAAACATTTATAATTTACAGTTTCACTTACATCTTGACTATACGCGTGTACATTTTTGCCGATGATCATATAATCAAGACGTATGTAAGATTGCAAATTATGAATGTTAAAATAATTCAGGCTGCAATTTACCCAAAAAAAAAACTATAAATTGCGAAGTTTCGTGAC